TTCAATAATTTTCATTCCAGGTTTGATTCAACAACGTACGTTAACACGTTAATCGCCACGATTAACAAATTAAACGATAAAATGCTCTCATATCATGAGATATATATGCCTGAATTACGAGATTTGGTAAAAGGATAATTTTACTAGTAAGTTTTACTAGTAGTCATTTTAAACGAATTTTTGTTGAAGAAAAAAACAAATCATAGTAATATGCAATATTAATTATATATATTTGGATTAACCTTTATATAAATAATATTGTTAAGCTTAAATCAACACAAAGTCCATTATTATTACGAGGATTCCATTATCAGTTATATTTCTATAAGGTTATTTAAAGAACCGATTATGCCGTAAAATAGACCATTGTTATGGCAAGGCTATGATATGTATTAGTTTTCATATAAAATCGCACTGCATACTGTCAAAAGCCATGTGGTTGCTTTGCAGTTAGGCGTTTTCACAGTAAAATATTTTCAAAATTAACAGTAGGAAATATTATCTAAATAGCCAAATCTATCTTTTTATTGATTAATTATTTTATTTCCACACTTGGGTAAGTTCATGCAACTTGTCTTAAGTGGGTATTCTGCTGTAGAAATACAAAAAAAGCTTCTATTCAAAAATTCTTGTACGAAAGAATTTGTTTAAATTTAAATTATTTTCGGAGTTACAGCTACTTGACAATGATAATCTTTTCTTGTTTCCTTCCTTTTACAAAACGTGTTTACTCGAAAACTGTCTTTTACAATACAATGTACACGATTTCTCGAGTTCTACTGGACCGATTCACTTGTAATTTTCAAGAAATCTTCTTTATAGACTTCTTTCTAGTATATACTAGCCTCATTCGAAAATTTCAGTTTTTTTAAATCAAGAAACTTAAAAAAGTGATAAGAAAGTGATAAGAAAAGCTACTTTTGTTACGTTTATAAATAAATTATAAAAAATGCAATAAATAGTAAAAAATTGCCTTTTTTACGATAATTTAAAAATTGCCTAAAGTTCATGCGTTCACAGTAGAATACCCCCTTGAAGTAAAATACAACTTGCAAGCTTGTAACCACTAATTTTATATAGTCGTAGTATCAAAATTTTCTAAACAACTTTATATCTCAAATATTGTTTTTTTTATAAATTTCAATTTAAATAGCAAATGGTTACCGATTTATACGCTTGACGAACATACTCGTCAATGCACTCCTCCATGACGAATATATTCGCCAATATGGTTAACATTAAATACGACAACGTTGAGTACAGTATAAAATAAAGCTGTATCTTTCCTCGCTGGTGTAAATAATAGGGATTATCTCAAGAAAAAAAGCGCAAACGGAATTACACTGATACATTATTTCTTTGGGACGTCTATCTGGCGAAAAGCTCTTGGGAGACGTGTTTGTCGGACATAATCGCAAACATGAAGGAGTCGGACATAAGGGAGATAATAAAAGTCGCAAGTCGGAAAATATACGAGCGGAATGCGGAATGGCCCAGGAACATGACAGGAAACTCACTGGGTAGAGGGTACATCCTGTGAAATCCAAGATATATAGGATATGAGCAAAATTTAATTTAAAATCATGGAAGTAGACATTAATGTTATCGTTTTTTATAGTAATAATATAATAATTTTAATATTTGTTGGAATTATATATAATTTTTAATGTTTTACAAACTTATATAAATCCGAAGCACTGAACTTAACCAAATAAAATACTATATTTAACTTCCCGTAGGGGAGGTTATAGTAATCGCAAAAAAATCGAAAATGAAAATTTTTATATATCTTTACGTTTCAAAGGTTTCTGAATAGTTTGGCATACCTTAGAAAAAATTGATGTATGGGTGTGTGTGTGTGTGCGGATACAAATTTTCGTCGACGATTTCGGGAACACCGATCAACCGATTTGAATAATTCAAAAACATTTGATTCGTATTGATAAGGAGACGTGCTAATTAGTTTTTGGCGAAGGCAAATCTAGCCGGGGCAAGAAGTGCCAAAAATGGAAACTCATTTTTTAAGAGAACGGAGCGTCCGATTTCAATAATTCAAAAAGCATTTTACCTGTATTGACAAGATGAAGAACTGATCAAATTTTCATAAAGGCAGGTCTAGCGGTTCCGGAGATCTTATATAAAAAGTAAAAAAAATGCCATTTGGCGATCAACAATGATCATTAGACATATGCACATCAAATTATCAGATATTTTATAAAGATTTTAACAATAAGTATAAATTTTGTTTACATTCCTATGGGTTCCGTACCAATGTTTATCCGTTAGATGACGACGCGGCCCTTACGCGCTTCGATATTTTGTCTCTATGCAGTTAAAGCAGTACTATTGCTTTAAAAAAAAGTTCAGAACTTCCAAAATATGTCAAAAATAAGAAAACATTTTTTTTCAATAATTTTTTTTTTCAAAAGAAAGTAATTTTTTGTCAAATTTATAGTTTCTCAAAAATCTAATACTTTCGAAGTGAATTTTTTTCAAAAATGTTAATCGTTTTTAAAAAAATAATAATTTTTGGTACGGGAAGTTCCTGCAATTTGCCTTAAGGCACGATGCCATGCGCCCACTAGTTAGTTCACGATTTATGTAGTCGTGACAGTATTTTCTTGTAGCAGATGCCTAATATTTTACTAAATAATTTATTAATTTTCTTTAAAAAAAGTTTCGATGTTTCTCATAAAACATAATATGGCGATAAAGTTCATGCACCAAACAGACCTACAAAAATTGGGTGAATTATATAAATTCATTCAAATTTGGATAAAAGGCTTCAATTCTAGGACATAGAAGCACCTGTCTGTGCACTAGAATTAATGATGTTACAGATAATTTTTTTAATTGGAAATCGAAATGTTAAGATTTAAATAAAAGCGAAAATTTTATTTTCGAAATAAACAGCTGGAAACTTTATCTAAATATCTAAATCTCAATTTCGTTTAATTATTTAATAATTTCACATTTTGGGAAGTTATTATTTTGTTTATTATATAATAAGAAATTTTGAACCCGCTGCAGTTAAGTGCAGTTAAGTGCAAGGGTTTAGTGATATTTTAATTATATCATCATAAATTGATTTGATTTTATACGGGATATTGGAAATTGTATTGAAACTTGTACACGTCCATTGATCACGTGAGCGAGTTTTTAAGAATTTTTGGACCCCCCCCTCTCTTGGTGATCAATGGTGATATGCAAAATTACCCCCCTCCCCCACCAAACATCTCGTGTATTTTTAGTTACGTGAAAAAACTGAACAATGTTTTATTTTTTTTTGAAAATGTTTGAACTTTTTTAAAAAAATTGGTTAAAAAATAAGTACACATAATATGTTATTATACCCCTCCATCCCCCACGTGATATTTCGTGATTTTTTGTCAATTTCGTGATTTGCCACACCTGTTCTACAAAGAGTGCGTGAATTCTTTATTGCAGAGGTCAAAATGTTCATCTTACGGGTGACTACATCTACAACTTGCTTTGAAAATATTATTTACTATTGAAGTTATTTATTCATTTTATATTTTTGACAGACTTATTTTGAAATGGAGTTTCATCTCTACTTTTATATATGAATAATATGGTCATATATTGTTATACATATATGATATAATATCAAATTCAGAATCATACAAAAAACATACATCACATATACATATGTAAAAGTCTTTTTTGGTTAAACACGAAAAAGTAGTAAAAATGTAGGATAATATTAAATGAACTACATGTTACGATAATTTATATTTTTGTCACGATCAGTAGATATTATCCCATAAATTTATATATATTCCTTTATATACAGTTTACATTTACTTCAATGAAATCGCATATTTCAAATAAAAGGAAAAAGAAATAATCCAGCAAATGTGAGCTCATCAACGATAAGACAAGCTCTGAAAGTTAATATCCACAAATATTAGGTTGATTAAAAATTATTATTCATCATATAGTTCAAAAAAATGTTATATTGCATGATTTCTATATGTTTATATTTATATAGTATAATTTGATACTTCCAAATGTTAAATATTAGCTGGAAATCAATGTGCCAAAACTTTATAAAGTTTCTAAGTATGAGAATTGATTGATTGAAATATAAATATAGTTTGATATACAATAAAACTTATCCAATATTTACACTTTCGGATCAGTAAACACAAAGTTTCACAAATCACTTCGAATGTCAGTAAATTTCATGCTCTTATAAAAACTTGAAAACTTTTGAATTTATGACAAGAAAATGTAGGATAGATTTATTCATTTTATTACAAACATATTTAAACGATATTGATTTTGTTTCAAATATAAGAAGAATTTAAAACTCATTATTAATGGCATATAAACAAAATTATTCATTCTATATTATGAGAATTAATTATATAGCTGAATATTTAGTATTTTATTTGTATATTGATAATATAATTGAACACTAATAATGCTTATTATTATTATTATGAGATTTATTATTGTGAAAATTAAGTATAGATTAACTGAGTAATGAAGAATTGTATAATATACATTCTACATTATATATATTAATTGTTGATTAATAATTAACTAAAATGTTATCAGATTTCAGAAAAACGAATATTATAATAATAAATATTAATAGGAAAATTATATTCTGGAAAAAAAATTTATTAGATATTCAATTTTATATTTGCATGGAAACAATTAATATAAACATGACTATATACAGAACTTAATAACAAATAAATAATAGTGAATTAGTAATATTTGCTCAAGCATATGAAAAGAAGTTATTGAGAAAACAAAATGTAAATGCATCAATTTCAAAAGAAAAAATCTAATATTTAAATTTCACACTTGGATATAAACAATAAAAATAAACGTTTTTATGATGATTATTATAATTAAATTAATAATTAATATCGTTAATATGATTATTCTTATTATCATTATCATTCTTAGTTTCATCAATATATTATTTCTACATCCTATACATTTTATCATCATCATTCCTAACATCATGATTTGTGTATCATCAATTCCCTATCATCAACATTCTTAACATCAACATTCCTATCATCGTCATTCCCATTATCATCATTCGCGTCATCATCATTTCCGTTACCGTGATTTCCGTTACCGTGATTTCCGTCATGGTCATTTCCGTCATCGTCATTTCCGTCATCGTCATTCGCGTCATTATTATTGCTGTCATCATTACTCCTATTATCATTATTCCTCTTATTATCATTCCCATCGTCATCATTCTATCCACATTATGCTTATTATCCATATTCCTATAACCATTAATTCTATCATCATCATTTTTATCATCATTATCAACAGTACCATTTTTATAAGAATTCATTAAATAGAAACTGAATTACAAATAAAAATAGTATTGAGATATAATATATTTATATTTAGTTTTTCTTATTTATTAATATTATTTAATATTAATATTTATTAAGGAATAAATTTAAAATGAGAAAATATTTAAATGAATTTAAGGTAATGAGACAACTACGTAATGTAAAATTATAAAAAAGAACGAAACATTATGAAGAGTCTTAAGTATGTATGTAATTCAGATAAACATGTCTTCGATTAGAATGTTATATCACAGATAGATAGCTTTATATCGAAATGTCATCGTAAATATCACCTGTGAAATATGAGCGGATGTATCAGTCGCTTCGCAAAGCGTCGTCAATTCCTTTCAGATGATCCGAATCGCAGATAAAATCAATCTCCGAACGAAAAATACACCAGAATCAATCAAAGGGCAGCCAATATGCTGTCTACTAGGATAAAGGTTGAGGCTTTTCTGCATATATTATTTGAAATTTGATTCTATTGCCTTTCTCCAAAAAACTGATCTACATTTTCAAATTGCGAAGAGCAGGGTACAAAGGTTTTAGTAGAAAAGATTGATGGTAATAAAAGATATATTATAAAGACATATGATATATTATAAAAACGTTGCTGACTTAAGAAATAACTACCAAAAGATATTGAATTATTCTATTAAATTTTCCATATAATTTCTATATTGTCTTTTAAATAATCAGAATATTCAAGTTATTGTTTTTAAATTATTGCCTCACATTGTTATTTTTTATGCTGTTATAGTCGTCACATTGTATTCTTCTATTTTAACTTCATGATTTCATTTCAAATAGCATCCTAACAAAGATTTTATAAGAAATGGTATATGCTAACGATATATTAGGTATAATAACTTAATGCGGATTTCACCCTTAGATGGCTTCAATTGAATTTTTAGATTTACTGACAAAGTCCAAATGCAAAATTGTTATTAGTTAGTAGATAATTCAGAAGTCAATCCGTAAAAAGAAGTTTTTTTATTGATATCGTAGATTTTGTTTGGAGTTCATTGATGGAAAATGGAAAATTAAATTGTGTTTCTGCAAATGCAAAAATGCATCACAAAAAGTCATGAGCTATTTATGGTGATAAAGCCTTGAATAAACGTCAGTGTCCAAGATGATTGTCCAGATTTCGTTTAGATGATTTTTTACTCTGAGAAGAAAAATGGTCTGGTCATTCAGTTGAATTTGATGTCAAAAAATTGTCTACTTTTATCTTTACCAACCAACCACACCATTAATTCTGATATCTACATAGCACCACAATAACTACCAAAATTAAACAACGCACTTGAAGAAAAGCAGTTTGAATTCAAAAGACAAATCAAAGTAGTGATTTACACCATTATTGACATCATATAAATTTAAACAATCCGCAAAAATTATTGGAAATTGACTCTGTTGGCTGGGATGTTTTTCCACATACACCATATAGTCCTGACTTTGCACCATTTGATTACTTTTTGTTTCGAATTTTACAAAACTCTACGAATGGTAAACAATTGGAAGATTATGATGGTGTCAAATTGTACCTGATTCAGTTTTTCACCAATAAAACCATTGCTGCTTGAAAGTTACTAAAAGGTCATTGATTAAAATGGACAATGCATTATAGAATAAAGTAATCTAGCCCATGAAAAAAAAATCTTGGATTTTTTAACAAAAATTCGCACTTGCTTAGTTGCCAACCTGATATTTTTAGAGAGCATAGATTTTTTAGCAATATTATAAGCAATATCAATTAATAAATTATTTGTCAAAAGCTATAATATATGAATACTATAAGTTTACCAATTAACTTTAAAAAATAGTAATAAATTAATATTTATTTAGTACTGGCAGGCTCATTATCCATACAAAGAAAATTCATGGGTGAAATGGGTAATAAATTAATATATATTTAGTATGGGAATAAATTAATATTTATTTAGTACCTGCATTTTTCACACAAAGAAAATTTTTCGGTGAAATTTTCAATTTAAAGTCAATAATTTGTGACCTATTGCATAATTCTAATTCTTATAATATGGAACTTAACTACAATACTTAGAAATATTTAACAATAAATATAAATAAATAATTGATTCAATCTATACTATTTAATCATGAGAACAAAACACGTTTAATTACTAGTAGATATAGTCGTAAAATTATTGAAGAGAATTTCTACATTTAAGACCATAAAAAAGTATTTACGAGTAGTAAATATGTATGGCAATACCTTTTAAATTCAAATTCTGTCACTGACTTGATTTATATAAACGACTGTTTTATAATTATAGGTTGAACTTAAATGCATGGGAACTGTCCACATCCGCCAAGAGACAAATTAATATCACCGTGCCACCCATAAAGCTGATATAATTTAACTATTTTATTGAGACAAGTATAAATTAAGTAATACAGATCAGATATGGTCAAAGCTGGAAGGAAATTGATAATTGATACATGTAATTTAATTTATATGCAGATAGTAGATAGCGAGTAAATTACAGAAAGTCATTGGAATCTGAAGATTTTGATGGAGGTAGAGTCAGCTTTTCCATCTGTCGGCCCTTGTTAATAACAATTTTACAGATAATATATGAAATGTGTAAACATATTTGATAGTGCTTCAAGTTTATCATACTTCGTAATTAAGCAGTTTTATCTGTAGAATTTGAATAGCCTGGTATCTAAAAATTACATAAAAATTTTTTTCAGAAACTGGTAAGTTTGAAATCTAAAAATCGGATAAATTTTACTTCCAAAAATGACTAAATCTGAAATCTGAATACTGCAATTTTTTCAGAAATTGGTAATGAGAGAAGATCATTTGTGTAAAATGTATAGATATGCAAAGAATATATACCAAAATATACACTTTATTGAAGAAAATACGACTGAATTTGACAAAATATATACTGTTAACTAAACACCAGGATTTGTTCATTTAAGGAAGACACTGCAGTGCATATATCAAATTTTTTATTCCTAAACTCTTGGCACAACTGTCCTGAATATTAGTACAAAGTTTGATCGTCATCTGCTAATAATTTTGTTATTTGCATTAAACCAAATTATCGAACAAAGGTTTGTCCAAAATTTTTGTATTTTGAATATCAGATTCAATTCAATTTTGAACGTCAGATTACTGAATATTGTACATAAAGCCTATGGTAAGTGTCCTTCATCAAAAATCCTGACTTATGATTGGTCAAAGACATTGGCAGAAAGGTGAGAAGTCGTGGATGATTTTAACGTCCATCAACATTTTCAATGAATGCAAAAGTCACCTAAACCAAAAAACTGGTGCTGGAAACCCGCCATTCAGGAGCAAAGGAATTAATTTTAAGCGAATTAATTTTACCACCAAATTGGGCATTTGCTCTTCGACATGTTCCACTAGTGTTGAACTTTCTTTGCATAAGGCCCATATTGTAAATACTTTTTTTCACCAAAAACTCATGAAATATCATGAAACAACTGTCCATTCACCAGATCTATTCGTCTGTAAATGATTTTTTTTTTTCAAAAAATTTAAATTGCCAGTTGTCATACACCGCTTTGGGTCGGCAGATACCAATAAAGAAAAACTCGCCGAAGGAGCTGGAGGAGATCCTTTTAATGGCCTTTAAAAAGTGCTTTGATGATTGGATTTATTGTTGGCATGTGTTTATTACTTTGAATAAAAACCATTATAAAGGTGACCAAAATAAAAATATATGATTCAACAATTATTTTGTGTTTTATGAAACAATTCCCGATACTTAGTTGTCAGTTGGTATGAAACGCAGAAAATGAAGCATTGAAGTATTTTAATAAATAATAACTAATATGAATAATGTTACTTTAAACCACAAAGATTAAATTGGAAATTTTGTTGTTTGAAATTAATTTTATAATCTTATTTCTCGAATAGATATATACGTTGAATATTGACAAAGTTACGAAGTGGACCAATTATCAGTCCTATTTGATACTAGGATAAAATCAAGTGTGTTAATACTTTGCATTAAATTCATATTTTTTTAAAAAATAATTTCAGTTGATTTTCGCAAAGTCAGTGCATTAGATGAGTTTTATACAGTTTTTAGAGATACATATTTTTTAAAAAAATAATTTCAATTAATTTTCAATAAAGTCATTACATCAGGAGTTTTGTACTGTTTTTAATGCAAAATACTCGGTTGACATAACACATTTTATTTTGAAATAATAATTAGAGCGTCTTTATCTACGACTGAAACATGTCAATTATTATAATTTGCTTATAAGACATACGATATTATAATAATTCGTTTCATGAGAAATTGTGAAACAATTTAAGCAACAGATGCTTGATGTATTCAATTACTCTCCCGATTTATTATAATCTCTCTAACCAAGTGTGTAAGTTCTCCCTTAGCAACATGAGCTGGAAAAGTTATTTCTTCGAAGTTCCGCGATGAAATTTGTTAAAAGCTCTAAGTTAATAATAGCAAGCGTTTTCTCTAAGCTTTATGGATGAAAACTGAAACCTTTTAATCGGAAGCAATACATGGTAAAATTTAAGAAATTGTGGATCAAACTTGCACGCTGAAAATTTTATACAACTAAACTGATATTATAGTTATTAGGGTTTATACAAAAACCGACACCAGTTTTCGAATTTTAATTTTACTAAAAAAACGGTTTTAACCGGTTTTCGAATTTTATATAGAAAATAAATTTTTACTCAAATATTCTGCAATTTATCCGAAAATTTAGTGTTTTTAGAACAGTATTTGACTGAATTTATTTATTGTTCAATTTTATAGATAGTAAACAAAATGATTTTAATTTTAAAGAACTTAAAAATAATAGTTTATCTTGATTAAAAAACTTTGAAAATAATTAATCGTTATTCATGCATCATT